ATTTTCAACTAGCCTTTTTAGCTGTATTTCCTGTTTCTTTTTACCCACTCCAGACTCCAAACCTGTCTCCCATTCATTCTTTATTGTACTCTATATCATACCATCTCTGTGGATTTATGCCATACCCTCAGCCAAGTATCCCCAGTTACTTACTAGTGAATTAATGGTCAAGATGCCCCATACCCCACAATCAAAATTAACCATTTTATGTCTTTCTATACCACTTCAGTTTTTCCTTCATTATGGCATGTATCACATTCTGTATTCTATTATAGCCTTTGTTTTGTTTGTTTTTGTTTTGTTTTGTTTTTACACATCTGCACCCTAATACATTACAAATTCCTTCAAATAGGAGCTAAATCAAGTCAAACTTGAAAGCTACAGGCAGGCTAGCTCTTTGTCTTGTCTTGTTCCATCAGTAGAGAAAGAACATGTGCTTCAACTTAGGCCAACCTTAGTTTGAATCCCTAGTATGCCACAAAGAGCTGTGTGGGCACTTTGATCTCTTTGTCTCAGTTTCACAGCTTATAAAAAGAAGATACAGATAGTAACTTTGCAGTGTTATTATGCAGATTAAATGAAATAATGTGTGCAAAGCATATAGCTTAATATATCGGCCTTTGGTAAACCAAAACCAAAAACCAAACCCATTGCCGTCGAGTTGATTCCAAATCATAGCGACCCTATAGGACAGAGTAGAACTGCCCCATAGGGTTTCCAAGGAGCGGCTGATGGATTCGAACTGCTGACCTTTTGGTTAGTAGCCAAGCTCTTAACCACTATGCCACCAAGGCTCCTGGCCCTTGGTAGGAATGCCATAAATGGTCACTAATATTACTACTGTTATTGTTACAATAGTAGGTACTCATTATTGGAGAAGGGTATTGTTTTGTTTGTCAGAACTCTTAGCATTAATGGTTTGGTTTAAATCATGTGGGTAATTTCTAGCTGAATGTAACTGAAGCTAGAAATTACCCATTGACCTTGCTGTTAAATGTAAAACTATTTTTTTTTCTTTGATCTTCCCATATTTTATTATCACATATTCTGGTATTATATCTTTTTACCGGCAAAAAAGGTTGCTTACTTTTTTAGTTTTTCCACCAACGGGGGGCCAAATGCTGTCAGTGTTTGTTGAAGGAAGAATTAAGCAAGCTCTTTTTGGAGTCCCTGAGTGGTGCAAGTGGTTAATGCACTTGACTGCTAACTGAAAGGTTGGAAGTTGAGTTCACCCAGAGGTTCCTCAGAAGAAAGGCCTGACGATCTACTTCTGAAAAAATCAGCCATTGAAAACCCTGGGGAGCACAGTTCTACGCTGGCACACATGGGGTTGCCATGAGTTAGAATCAACTTGATGGTAATTTGAAAATCTTTTCTACCCCTGTCTTTTTCATGCTATTTTGCAGTAGAGAATGTGAATTAAATGTCCTACCTTTAGAGTTTTTGAAACTTGCTGTGCAGTGTTTGAAGAGTCACCAAAACACTAGAGGAGGTCCTTTGGCCTGGAAGTTTCTAGCACATCTTCTCACACGCCAGTGAACGTTGGTTGCATGTGTCCATGTGCTGATAGAGCCTGACTTGCACAGACAGAGTGCATACTTCCTGTGCCAAAGAACTTTCCCAACATTGAAGTCAACTAAGACTGTAGCTAATAATGCTATACTTCTATAAATTGTGAGGAAAGATAGTGTCCAGATCATTCTTAATTTGAATTAGCTTATGCTGTCCTTATTATCAATGAGAGTTTCTTAGAATTAAAATTCTGGGAAGATGATTCAGTGTAGGGAAATACCTAATGCTTTTTTTCGTCTTTTTCCAGTTAAAATACTGATGAAATCACCAGAGAAAGAAATTAAAAAAAAAAAAAAAACTTTGATACAGACACAGAGGATGACAAGAATTGATTATACTTATTTAAAGCATATGTATCATCTTATACACTGATGAAATCGGATTAATAAATAGCACCTGAAATTAACCAAGACCAAGGCCCTGGCAGAAGAATGACACATTTTCATAGACCAAACTACTGGAAGAGGGAATGCAGTCAGGTTCATTTTCACCAATTATTAATAGTGACGATGATGGTTGTGGTGGTGGTGGTGATGGTGGTAATAGGCAGATTGCCAGGCATTGTGTGAATCAGTGTTCATTATCTCATGTAATATTTATAAAAACCATATGAGATAGTTGTTATTTTAATATTCATTTCACATATCAAAAAACTAGGGCTACAATAGTTAATCTTACCCAATGTCACATAGCTATTAAAAGACAGAATTGGGACTTAAAACGAGGTTGGTCTGACCTATAGTCAGCTCTGATGCTGCACTGATGTACTCGTCCTTGTGCTGTACTGATAAGGTTACACGCCTTCTTTCTGTAGGTGAAGAGTGGGGTTCAGAGAAGAGGTCCTAGCACAGGACCCCTTGTCTAGGAAAGCATAGCTTTTGGCCAGAATGGAACTACCACCATCCTGATCACCACTTCTGGGGGCCTTCTCTTCCCAGGACTTGAAGGAGAGATTTGCAGCTTATTGCTTTGTTATAAATCTCTCATGGTAGTAACCCCACTAGAGAAAGAGGATAGAACATACAGTTTTTTTTAAGTACTGTGTTTCCTGATGCCAGTGTCAGGAGAGCCACTCTGCCAGTAGGTCTCTGGGTGACACAAATGGTTAATGAGCTTGGCCGCTAGCTGGAAGGTTAGTTGGAAGTCCAAGTCTACTCAGGGGCACCTTGGAAGAAAGCCCTGGCAATCTACTTCCAAAAAATCAGCTATTAAAAACTATGTGGAGCACATTTGTACTCTGATGCGCATGGGTTCACCATGAGTCAGAATTGACTTGATGGCCGCTTATACTGGTACTGGTACTCTACCAGTGATCCCACTCTGGTGCATAACAATATTAGGCTGCAAAACCTAATCAGAGGAGAATAACTGTGCTTATAATAGGTGTATATACTTCATGGTCCTAATTTCAGGAAAGACATTTTGCTAAGAATCTCCATCTGACTGTGAAAATGGCAAGACTCCATCCGACAGCCCAGAAGAATGACGGTCTCTATCAGTCCCTGAGCTCTTTCCAGCAGGCCCAGATCCTTTCTGAGATTGACCTTTGAACAACTTTACTCTTAGCTCATCCTCTGTCATCACAGCCTACCATTAATAGTTCTTCAGATAACATCCCATTAGGTATGTTCTTCATAAGGTTTAGGAAAATAATTACCCCAAGGACTGCACATACCCACAAAGTAATAAATGGCCTTCCTGAGATAGTTCTACCCAACGAAACAAAACAAGAACCTAGGAAAAATAAAACAAACGAACAAATAAATAAATAAAACCCCAAAACATGAAAGCCAACCTTACCATTGAAGTAAATCTGTCATAGGTAATAGAAGACTCACGTAATACCAAACATCTGTTACCAGGAAAATAAAAGCAAATATCACTGTGATGAAGTAAGAATAGAGAAATGACATTCCATAGCCAAAAAAGTAATAATTCAAGTAAACATTTGAAGCAAAATGCTATATTTTATTGATTTTAAGGCCCACATTTTTTCCCATATTAGCATCTCTGAAATAGGAATTCATCTTAAATGATGGGGTCTTACAAATGGTTTTAGCCAACAACAGTGGTAATGTAAAGTGCTTCTTTTTAAACATTGCTTAGTAAGACCTGTTCATCCACTGCTTCTCTGACCTCATCTCCTAGGACTTTCCCTCTTTTTCACTCTGTTACAGCCATGCTTCACTCTTTGCTCTTCCTTGAACAAACTAGGCATGCTTCCACCTCTGGGCCTTTGCCTTTGCTGTTTCCTTTTCCTACTGAGAATCCTATGTCTCACTCTCATATTTACTGTAGATATTTATTCAAATGACACTTCCTCTTTTAGCCTTTCCCTCCTCACCTTATCTAAAATCACAGTATCCTAACAGTCCCCATCCCCCTTTCCACTTTATTTTTCTCTTTTTCACTTGTAACCAACTGACATAGTTCATATTTTACTTTCTTATTTATGGTTTATCTCTCCCAATAGTGTATAAACTCTAGTAAAGGCAGGGATTTTTGTCTGTTTTCTTCACTACTGAATCTCCAGCTCTTAGAAGAATGTCTTGTGCAGAGTCAACACTTAATATATATTTGCTGAATATATGAATAAGAGAATAAATCAATGGATTACATGCTCAAACAGTGGTGGGTAAAGTGGAGAGGAGGTACCAATGTCACACTAAATCTGTCTAATGGAGCATGAACTAGGCCGTCAGGCACTTGAGATATAAACCTGCCTGTTTCCAGCTAACTGAGTGAAGTGTGGCAAGTTAATCCCCTGGGCCTTGAAGTTGGAGTATATAATCTCTGTGGATGTTATAACATGTCCATTAATGGAACTTTCTGCCAAAAGAGAATTGAAAAATGAGGCCAGGAATGGAGAGCTCAGATGAATGAAACCGAATCTTTTAACACAAATGTTATTGGTAATGAGAATGTTAGTGCAAAGAATTTTGAGATAACTTGTAGTTCAGTTTCCTTTGTTTTATAAATAGTGACACTGAAGCCCAGGGTTTGAAAGATTAGCCAAGGTCATGAGCTAATTGGTGACAGACTTTGAACTCTACTCAATATCTCAAAGTCCATGAGGGAGCCCAGTGTCCTTTTTACACTAACTAGTGAATTATGCAACTCCCCTGGTGGCACAGTGGTTAAGAACTTGGCTGCAAACCAAAAGGTCAGCAGTTCGAATCCACCAGCTGCTCCCTGGAAACCTATGGGGCAGTTCTCCTCTGTCCTATAGGGTCTCTATGAGTCAGAATTAACTCAGTGGCAACAGGTTTGGTTTTGGTTTTAGTACACATGGTAAACACTAATGACTTGTCAAAAAAAAAAAAGTTATTCTTAAACTGTTTTGCTACAATGTTCAGCTTAGATTCCATGAAGTCACCTAGTGGCAAGAATACATAGATCAACTTATCTCTCTTTGTGACCTAATTCAGCTTACAGAAGAGATTGGAAAACTTGAAGATAAAGTAGAATGTGCTAATAATGCCCTGAAAGCAGACTGGGAAAGATGGAAACAAAATATGCAAAATGAAATCAAGTCAGCATTTACGGATATGGCCGAGGAGAATATCAGCTATTATGAACAGGTAATTAGTACTATTTGATATTGCTTCACTTTAAAAAAGTTATTTTCTCTCTTACTTTCTCTTTTTCCTGTGTTGAAACAGCCTATGAAGAAACTAAATGACACGTTCAAAAGCCTCTTTGGTGGCCCTGTGCCTTCATTTGGTTCCCTCACTGACAAGTCAGGAGTAACCCAGACCCGTCTCCTGAAACTAATGTGTTTATGTGGAGGAAGAATGATTACCTTTCCTTTTTACCCAGCATACTGAGTGCCTAATTGGAGCTGAGCCTGATGTGAGAAAGATTACACTACCATGTTTTGTTTGGTTTGGTTTCCCCTTAGTTACTTGTCTTGGAAGGATTTGCAATGCTATTCTAGTATTTTTGAATGCGTCAAAAGTGCTTGATAATGCTTCCTAATGATTCTTTTATCTTCTCCTGCCCCCCACTCTCCCTCCTTCTTATATTATAAAGATAAAAGTTTGCAAAGGAAGGAAAGGAGCAGAGATTTGAATATGCCAAAAACCAGTTCAGGACCTATACCCTGTGCCCCTGCCATCCCCATCTTCTGTGTCGATTAAAAAAATCAGCAATGGAGTATGCTATTCTATTTGCTAAAGAGTAACAACATTTTGTCTGTTTGTTTTTAGTTTAGAAAAGAGCCTGGTCATCGTTTTGATTTTCAATGATTATGTTTCATTTTTTACAACTAACTGTTCTTCAAAGCAGTTACTTTTAAAATGAATTTTATGATACCGTCACTTTTCTCAGGGACTTAAAGCACTCACCAGCCGTTCCACAGGAGAAAGATGTGGCATTCGGCTTCTGTAAAGATTTACAGGCTTGGAAACCCTATGGTTCTGAATATTAACCAAAAGGTTAGCAGTTGGAACCCACCAGCTGCTCCTTGGAAACCCTTTGGGGCAGTTCTATTCTGTCCTACAGGGTCGCTATCAGTTGGAATCGACTCGACAGTAATGGGTTTTTGGTTGTATCACCTTTCTCTACCCAGCATATTCTAAACACACTTTCTCTAGCAAGTATACTTTAAACTTATATCTTAACCATCTCTGGCTGAATTAATGAATATATGAAATGTTTAAATTGAGAACATTATTTTCTGCCTTATAGTCTACAGTGCCCATCAGTTTAAAGACAGTTTAAACTGAAATAAGTTTAAAGATACTTTAAACTGAAATAGTGTATATTTTGAAAGATTAGTGGATTGATATTTCCATTCCAACAGCTGTTAATGGAGCACCTAAAATCAGGGGCACTAAAGGGAACACGGTATGCGAGATACACACCAGCCCTTTCTCATGTAGTTACAGTCAAGGACAGAAACAGCCAGTTAAAACAAGTGGTCATAATAAAGTGTAATAAGTTCCATGATGCGGAGACATTGCAGGGACATCTAAGCTACTTAGAGGGAATGAGGGAGGTTCCTCAGAGGATATGTTTAAGTTGAGACAAGAATGGTGAATAAGAGGTCGCCAGATAAAGAGGTGAGAGTTCCTGGCAGAGAAAACGCATGCACAGGATCCTAGAAGTGAGAGACAACATGACCTGTTCAAGTAACTTAGGTCCTTTTTGGAAGGTGGCAGGGTAGAGATAATATTGAGTTGAAGGATGAGGCTGAAGAGGACCTTATAAATTTAGTCTTTAATCTTTCATTCTAAGGGAGGTGGGAGCCACAGAACAGTTTTCAACAGGAAGTCATGATGTCAAACTTGCCTTTTAGGAAGATAATTCTCGCTATATATAGGTGAGAAACAAACAAAAAATGCCAAACCTGTTCCTGTCAAGTCGATTCCACCTCATATCGATCCTAAAGGACAGCGTAGAACTGCCCTGTAGGGTTTCCAAAGAGTGGCTGGTGGATTCGTACTGCCGGCTTTTGGGTTAGCAGCCTAACTCTTAACCACTGCACCAGGAGGGCCGCTATATATAGGTGAGAGTGGAAGAAAACTGGAGGTGGTGAGAATAGTTAGGGGGCTGTTGCAATAACTGAGGCAGAGATGGGACCAACCTGGCTTATAGTAGCGGACTAGAGATTGGTGGACAGATTCAAGTGATACTTATTTTTAGGGGGTGGGGTTGGACATACCAGTTTCTATCTCTCCTTCATTCTTTATTCTGTATTAACAACCTTAAGTAAATTTAAGTATCTAAAGGGAATTTCTCATTCATCTCCTGTTTTGAAATGATTTAAACTATTTCTTTGGAATAAGGCACACTTATCACCATAAAGCTTTCTAATAGTATTTGTCTAAGCCATCACTACAGTGGGGCAGCACGGAGACATGGATTCTACAACAAAGTTTACCACTTAGCTGTTTAAATCCACAGAAGTAACTTTACCTTTCCTTTACAATAGAACCACATTTACATTATAGGATTGCTATGAAAATCAACTGAAATAATTTCTAAGAAAATTCCTTGAAAATTTGAATATGCAGTATACTATAGGTAATTTTTATTATAAAACTTAAGTATGTTGTTGTTAGGTGCTGTCAAGTTGGTTCTGTCTCATAGTGACCCTACATACAACAGAATGAAACATGGCCCAGTCCTGCACCATCCTCACAATCATTGCCATGCTTGAGCCCATTGTTGCAGCCACTGTGTCAATCCATCTCATTGAGGATCTTCCTCTTTTTCTCTGACCTTGTACTTTACCAAGCATGATATCCTTCTCCAAGGACTGATCCCTTCTGATAACATGTCCAAAGTATGTGAAACGTAGTCTCACCATCCTTACTTCTAAGGAGTATTCTGGTTGTACTTCTTCCAAGACAGATTTGTTCGTTCTATATTAAATACTCTTCGCCAACACCGTAATTCAAAGATGTCAGTTCTTCTTCGGTCTTCCTTATTCATTGTCCAGCTTTCACATGCATATGAGGCAATTGAAAACACCATGGCTTGGGTCAGGTGCACCTTAGTCTTCAAGGTGACATCTTGTCTTTTGCAGCAGATTTGTGCAATGCAGTGCATCTTTTGATTTCTTGACTACTGCTTCCATGGGTATTGATTGTGGATCCAAGTAAAATGAAATCCTTGACAACTTCAGTCTTTTCTCCATTTATCATGATGTTGCTTATTGGTCCAGTTGTGAGGATTTTTGTTTTATGTTGAAGTGTAATCCATACTAAAGGCTGTGGTCTTTGATCTTCATTAGTAAGTGCTTCAAGTCCTCTTCACTTTTAGTAAGCAAGGTTGTGTCATCTGCTTAATGCAGGTTGTTAGTGAGTCTTCCTCCAATCCTGGTGTCCCGTTCCTCTTCATAGAGTCCAGTTTCTTGGATTATTTGCTCAGCATACATATTGAATAGGTATGGTGAAAGGATACAACCCTGACACACATCTTTCTTGCCTTTAAACCACGCAGTATTGCCTTGTTCTGTTAGGACAACTGCCTTTTGATCTGTGTACAGCTTCCTTATGAGCACAATTAAGTGTTCTGGAATTCCCATTCTTCACCGTGTTATCCATAATTTGTTATGATCCACTCAGTTGAATGCCTTTGCATACTTAATGAAATACGGGTAAACATCTTTCTGGTATTCTCTGCTTTCAACCAGGATCCATCTGACATCAGCAATGATATTCCTGGTTCCACATCCTCTTCTGAATCTGGCTTGAATTTCTGGCAGTTCCCTGTCAATATATACTGCTGCAACCACTTTTGAATGACCTTCAGCAAAATTTTACTTGTGTGTGATATTAATGATATTGTTCAATAATTTCCACATTCAGTTGGATCACCTTTCTTAGGAATAGGCATAAATATGGATCTCTTCCAGTTGATTGGCCAGGTAGCTGTCTTCCAAATTTCTTGGCATAGATGAGTGAGCACGTCCAGTGCTGCATCCATTTCTTGAAACATCTCAGTTGATATTCCATCAATTCCTGGAGCCTTGTTTTACGCCAGTGCCTTCAGTGCAGCTTGGACTTTTTCCTTTAGTACCATCAGTTCCTGATCATATGCTACCTCCTGAAACGGCTGAACGTTGACCAATTCTTTTCGATATAATGACTCTGTGTATTCCTTCCATCTTCTTTTGATGATTCCTGCATCGTTTAATACTTTCCTTGTAGAATCCTTCACTAGTGCAACTCGAGGCTTGAATTTTTTCTTCAGTTCTTTTAGCTTGAGAAGTGCCAAGCATGTTCTTCCCTTTTGGTTTTCTATCTCCTGGTCTTTGCACTTGCCATTATAACACTTTACTTTGTTTTCTCGAGCCGCCCTTTGGAATCTTCTCTTCAGTTCTTTTACTTCATCATTTCTTCCTTTTGCTTTAGTTACTTGATGTTCGAGAACAAGTCTCAGATCTCTTTTGACATCCGTTTTGATCTTTTTTTTCTTTCTTGTCTTTTTAATGTCCTCTTGCTTCATGTATGATGTCTTTGATGTCATTCCACAACTTGCCTGGTCTTTGGTCATTAGTGTTGAACACATCAAATCTATTCTTGAGATATTATATACTTAATATACTTAAGTATATTAGGGTATAAAATCACAAGACAAATAAACCTAATATATTTTCCTTTAAAATATAAGGTCTGTAAAACTTTTCTCGATTTGAACTTTTATATTTTTTAAGAGAAAATATTCATAGCAATTCCATAGAACCCCAACTATATATATATAAATATATATTTTTTATTATATTCAAAGATTTTAATTCACTTTACACAAAATACTGTTTTCTTAAGAATAGTTAAACTAGCATAAACGTTGTTGTTGTTGTTAGGTGCCATCGAGTCAGTTCCAACTCATAGCAACCCTGTGTACAACAGAACAAAACACTGCCCAATCCTGTGCCATCCTCACAATCACTGTTATGCTTGAACCCATTGTTGCAGCCACTGTGTCAGTCCATCTTGTTGAGGGTCTTCCTCTTTTTCACTGACTCTCTAATTTACCAAGCATGATGTCCTTCTCTGTCCCTCCTGATAATATGTCCAAAGTGTGTGAGATGCAGTCTCGCCATCCTTGCTTCTGAGGACCATTCTGGCTG